TATCCTGTAATAATAGGTAATGAATAATAATATGTAATCTGATTAAACCGATTGTTTTATTTCACAGTCCTAAAAAAACATAACAAACCTTATAAAAGCATACCTGTCACTGCAATCCAAATATGGGAATAATTTTTGTTTTTTGAAAATCTTACAGAGTTTATTGCATTTTTTCCTGTTTCGTAAAAGACATTAACTTTGTTACCTTGTCCTTAGCAGAGTTAGCAGAGTACTTACTGAAAACCAGTAACATCTACTCAGTATGTATAAAAATAACACTGGGTGGGTATTCAATTTAAATTTCCTTTTTAAATAAATATACAACATGAAAATATAAATATTACACAAATCATATGCCACATATCTAACATAACTTTACCATTATTGTACATTGTGCATTGTATTTTGACAGTGACGGGAAGCACGCTAAAACATCCTGCCCTGTCATTCCAAATAACATTAGTAATCATGCATTGACATGGGCCTGTGTTGGTGAATGAAATGACAGGTGTTTGTAGACAATAATAAAATCTGATGTTTGTTTTTCTCAAACCTGACATGGATGAATTTGCAAGTACCTTGAACACCCTGGAGTTCAGAGCTGTGCCAGGACTGTGTGCTCTCTATTCAAGTACCTCCAGGATATTTGCCGTCTACTGCTTATTCTACTTGGAAACCTCAGTGTGTTAGAGGCTTTGAGAAATATTTTACCGAGGACAGGCATTTGTTCATGCATCTTAGAGGCAAGTGTGTTCTTCTGTGCTTTGTGTTCACCAAAACTATTTTAATGAAAAAATATTTGCTACACGTCACCTTTTCCACATTTTTTCATGGTACAGTCTTTGTTCCCTCAGAAAATTCCTAATACCCAAAAAAAGTTGGTCCAAAGTTGGTCCAAGTCTAGTTGATCCAATTTGTCACGCAGTCAGATTGTCTGAGCCTAACTGCGTCATCCGCACAAACCATGTTCAAATGAGCAAAATAAGGCTTGTGAGAAAGTGAGTCATTCAGGGTGAGGGTTTACTTTATGTTCTTTACAAAGTGCTTTATAATTTTTTTTAGACTTAATTAATATTCTCACCTTCATGTTAACATGTTATACTAATACTTCTCACAAAATACAGTATAGATGTACAGAGGATGTTTTCAAATTCTACATTAAATGATCAGTGTTTCCAGACAGTTACCTTTTAAGACTTTACTGAAATGCAAATCTGTGATTTTTTCTAGTCTATGTCAAAAGGACAAATAAGTGACTCTTATTGTGTATTGTATCTTAAAATTTAATAATATTGACATTTCCTGCTATCAAATAAACGTTTTAATTCTTTCCAAATTGATTATGCTAATTACTTCTTATCATTTTACTGCAGTATAGTAAAAGACAGATCCTGACTATTGTAGTCCCAAAAAATGTTGAGGCAGGGCTGGAACTTCCTACTGCTGTGTGTGTGTTCATCCCAGTAGAATCAAATCCTTCAAAACAACTGAGATTTCTCCTTTTTTAATATTTCCTTTTGTGTATATTTTGACAATGTTTTTTTGTTTTATTTGACAGATAATTATCATGTAACAGTGATTCGATTATGGGAAGAAAGCGCTTGCACCACATTTCAACTCGGGTAAGTCGGACATTTGTTTTCACTTGAGCTGAATTTTTCTCGATGATAGAAGGAAATGTGTATAAAGGTGAAATTGTGTGCATTTAGTCCTAATATCACCCAACTCGACCTGTGATTTTCTCATAGAATCTAGTTGTGTCATCTTTATTTGTTTTCCAGAATGGTATTTTCCTTTACCTTCAGTACAATCAGTGTTATTCTTTTTTTAAACTGACAGCCACTAAAGTGTGTCAGCACCACGACTAAAAACCCACCACAGCCTTGAGTCCTGCTCTTTTTGATAAAACACATCAGAGAACTGTTTTTTTTCCACCATTATATCTTTTTTTTTCTCCATTTCTGTGGCATTTATCTGTCAGAAATATTGCATTCATTCATATTCTAGTATGAATGAACTTCCTTCTTTTTTTATATTGGGCTCAAAAGATACTCATTCTTTTATTTAAAATAAAATAAAACTGATTATCCAGTTGCAAATAGAATTTGAGGCTGAAAGTCATATTGTAATATTATATATATTCTAATATTAAAAGGTATGGTGAGTTAATTACTAAATGGAACTATCACACAGAACCAATTAGAGTAAACTGCCATCTTTATTCCCTGGCTCCGAATTAGTGATGGATGATGCAAGAATATTTTATTTCAAATGATACCGGTTATATTTTTAGCAACTTTTTCAATATCTATCGATATTGATTTTTTTTTTATCTCAGTAAAACACATGACATATAATGACCATTTAACAACCTAATTAACCATTAAGGGACAAAAATGTCTAGTGGCTATGTTCACATGGAGTTACTGGTCTCTGCTCAGTGGCCACATGAATGGATCAGTTACGTGCCCTTTTTGAATTTATTAATTAGTATTGATACTTTATGAGCCCAGTTGATACTCGATCAATGCTCTGGTCCCCCACCAGATCAAATCTGTTACTTGTGCAGTAAATGCCATTTGAGTGACCTTGCCTTATACCAGTTGTCATGGTAATGACAATCACAGCTATGATTGACAGCTGCCTTGTGGTATCTGTGAATCTCAGAGCAAGTCATTTACATATTTTTCTCCTAGCTTCCATGGGAATGTGTTGACGTCTGACTCTCATTTTTCGTTTTCCTGTTAAATGCATGTAAGCAAACAGTAGTGTGGGATTAATAATGATAGTTTATTTTCCAGTGTTACATTGACCTAGCAGCAGCAGAGAGGCTGCGGGCCCTTGTTTTTTAACTGACTAAATGCCAATACATATTTAGTTGACATTTACATTTCTTCCTAGAAATGAAACACACCATTTGTAAAACCATCCCCAAATCGGGGTGAGGAGAGCGTGAGGCAGAGGTGGAGTGGGAGTGTATCTTGTGAAGTAACAAATAGGAAATAAGTACGCTGACCTCGTAGCTTGAATGCAGTCAAAGGCATACGTCTGGCAACCACCTAAAAACACACAACTGAAAATCACAATCGACTGTAATTTGCAACTTGACGTGTTTCTTGCTTTTCTGGAGGCAGTGAAAGGTAATTTCTTCAATGTCAATGTTTTTTTTATCTTACTAAGAAGTGGGCCTGGATGACGTCTTAACATGCAGTAGAAAAATAACAAAATAAATCCAACAATTTATCTGAAGGGCATGAATTTTCCTGTGACTGCATTAAAGTCAAACAACCTTTTCCAGGAACATCACAGTTCTGTGCTGATCAAGAGTCAGTTAGAGACTGTGTGTGCAAATGTGGACAGTTCTCCTGCTGCGTATATGACGGGTTACTACATGTATGTATGTATATACAGTATATATGTACATATATACTGTATATGAGTGTGTTCATTCGATTCTTTTATCATTATTTGATTTTATTTATATTGATTCTTTATATATCTTGATGTGAAGATATAAGGAATAAGGAAAATGTTTACATGTGTAAAACCACCACTGTGTACTGCGTATAACTGACAAATAAAACCCTTGGATCCTGAATTATACATGAAGAGAAAACGTCACTCAGCTTCTTGGGATGTTCACTCTAGCTCTCCATTACAGGTTGTTGTCAGGAGTGTGGTTTTAAATGACAGTTGAACTGAAGAGTGTTCAGTCCAGGTTTCAGTCACATGCAGCATCCAGTGTATTGTTCAACCTTTCCCTCTGTCTGTAATCAGACTATACAGTGCATCTGAATAATAAAGACCTGCATTTGGACCATGAGATAATCAGGAAGATTTTTTTTCTCTCATGTTCTTTTTTTAGTTGCTTAGCTGCTGATCAGTTTTGCGTCAAATGTCATTTTAATTACTCATCATAGCAGTACTAAGTTCTTGTGGAACGTATACAACATCAGTGTTCCAAGTTTTTTTTTACATGACTCAGTGTATGTACATGTCATTCCTATAGCTGCAACCAACGTGTACTTGTAATATATGAGACACTGGCAGATAAGGAGGAGTATAGATTTTGTACAGGTTGTACCTGCACAGGTTGACTGTGGGAAAGAGAGAGAGAGAGGACAAGAGAGGAAGAGAAAGTAACTGACTAAACTTTCGATATAACGTATAAGAAAGCCTATTTATTCGTGTAGCCTCAGGGATCAAGGGAGCTTAAGAGCCTCTGGAGTTATTGCTGATACTTTTGCCCTTTGAAACCTTTCTCCGAAAGATTGCAAAGCAATGGTGCTTATGCAATAAACACACATACAGGCACCAGACAAGTCCTGGCTAGAAACTCAAACTCAGATGTTGTCGATGACCTGTTGACATTATGCTTCACTGCTTTGTTGTGCTTCACACAAGCTCCCGTCAGCACAACCTTCTTTCATTCTCCCTGCTGTCCCAACATTAGCAAAAGTTTATTATAACATACCTTTAACACAGCACTGTTATTTATTAATCTGTTACACCTCAGGGATTAAAAAACAGGGGTGTTTTGTTCTTAGCAATTGTGGATTTGCAACAAAAAAATGTAATATGCAAATAAATATATTTTGACAAGTTTTACAAGATGAGAAACCCAGCTTGTACACACAAGCTAACTATTGTATGTTTACAGTGTATGCAGCCTAACATATTGATAGATCTGTCTAATCTGTAATTAATCATAGCAATAATTATAATCATACAGTAATATAACTTCCTGTTAGTTGAATTGTATTTTTCATGTATTTCAACAGGTCATCGTTTGTTCCTGCTGTTAAAACATATTGTGCTATTATTAAATAATGTAAGCTAAAGGTCAGAGCTGTCCTTATGTCAACACAGTGTCAAAAAAGAAAAAGAAGCAGACTTTGACCATTCTGAAGTTCTCTTTGTCATCCGTCTTCAGCTATATCTACTTGTAAAGTACTTAAGTTCAGTACTAGTGTCTACCAATCAGATTATATCTGTTCGTAGCCAATGAGGTCACTGAAAGCCAATCCACTGGGTTTGTTGAGTTGGAGTTTAACCTTTGGACCCACGTAAAAGATCTGGGCGATAGAGAGGACACTCCGAGGAACAAAGACGGGGCTACAAAACAACAAAGCGATTTGGCAGTTTTTTGGCTGGATCTCTGCCTTGTTGTAGATCTGTCTTCTAAAGGAACAAAATCTAAATTATAATGGAACACTACCCAGATCAGGTAAATACTCCAAATCTTTTTTTAATTAGTAGTAGTTACTTAGGCAGTGGCACAGAACAAGGTTCAGGTCTCGGAGGAAATATAAAAACCTCCTTCTAATATTTCAACATAGCCTGTTCCTGTTAATGTGATTTTGTTTTTTTATTGAAATGTCTTTAACATTAGCAGATATCTGTAAAGATGTAAAAAGAGAAAAAGATTAGTTTACACTGGTAAAGCACAGGTCTCACATGTCACGGCTAAATGTTGCTGTGTGTTGCCAATAAATGTCATGGTCTTATTTAAGGGTTGTGGTGACATGGAGCTGCTCGACTGGCTGTTTGATCAAAAAGATGGAATTCTACGAAATGAAGAGACACAACACCATGACAACCATCACACTTGGACAGTCCAGGAAACGAATGTGCGTTTAAAAAAAAGAATGTTTTCTTTTCCATTGATTGTGTATTCTGTCCTTGGCATACATTCTAGGTCTTTTTCTCCGCCACTTTAGACGCTCTCAATAGACACCAGTGATAACCTTGAGCTTTTTTGCCCTGCAGATTCTACAGCCTCCTCAACAGGCAGATGATGACTTCCTTAGTTCCCTCCTGAGTGGAGGTAATTCTGTGTCGCCCTCCCCTCTCTGGTCACCGTCTCACAGTGACAGTGGGATTAGTGAGGACCCTGCCTCAGACCAGATGGACAGTCCACAGCGCTCTGAGAGCCCCCCTGAGGACATGAAGTACTTTATTCAAGGGCCACAACACAAGGCAACCCTGGAAGCAGCCGGTGTCTCGTGTAAGTCTCAAACGCCAAAGAGAAAAATGTTCCAGAAGATGTACTAGACATTCAGAAGTTGCTTAGTTTCCCAGTAGGATTTATTTTAAAATGTGTTCAAAGGCTTTTTTTATTATTATTACCAACAAACTATATTAACATTTATAATGTCTTGTCTCGTCCTTTTCTATTTTTCAAATGAGAATAATGGACATTTGTGTGTCTGTGTGGAAGCAGATGACTGGAATCCTGTCTTTTCAATGGACAGACCACCACTGACACAGTATACTGCTGATGTAAATGGACAACAGCTGTCCTCTGGCTTCCCACTGACTGTGAAAGATCTGCTGCTGTCTGGAACACAGGAACCGGTGAGCACCGCAGAATATAGAAATATACTGTGTATTTATATAGGTGGTAAAGGGGAGGGGGGGTGACATATGGCAGTATTTAGGTATTGAATTAACAGAAAAATTACTGTAGCGTGTGCTGTCAGGTATTGTCTTAGACAGGTAGCACCAGTCAATGAAGGATTGTTGGGGATCAGGAAAGGTTCAAAATAAATAACCTTTTAGACTTAGTCCTGTTAGCATCAGCATCTAAAAGACAAGGTTTTCTTAAAAAAAAAGAAGTAATGGATGGATGGACAGATGGATGGATCATGTCCTAACATGTATCCCATCTACAGATGTAATGTACATACTGCAATACAGTACACCGGCTCCAATTTAAAACCTCACAGACAGCCAATAATATAGTGATGAAAAATCTCTGGAGATGTTATCAACTTTTCATATGATCTGTGGCAGCTGCCAGCAGTTAGTTAGAACTGAAGAACCCTTTTGGGTGAGAGTTGAAACATCTGCTAGAAACCACTACTGTCGAGTTGCCGTCTACTTAAAAAAATGACCTGGTTGACTGAGAACCGTACGTGAAGTGTAGGCATCTTCTATTGGTAGTTTGTGTGTAGTTATTTTCCTGTTTAAACACAACACTTCTCTGTGTAAAGAGGGAGTCAATAAACACTTTTTATTTGTTGAAAGTGATTGTGAGGCTTTCTTCTAACACCCTCCCTTCAACTTCAATCACATGAACATGAGAGTAGCAGAATGCAATTAAGATTCCCTTGTTGTCATTTCATTGTCTTCATATCTTTGAGTAGCTGTGAAATGAGTGATAAACATGGCCCGGTAGTCTTCTCCAGCGTAGCTTTGAGGGGGGAGAAGAGGAGGAGCAGCTTTGGTGCCAGAGGAAAGAAGAGTCCTAATCAAACAGCAGTGATGATGTTTTTTGACATTAGTATTCCTTCTGTATCTCACCACCAGCCCCAACAGCCTTCCCAGCAATCCATTCAAGAGTTGATTCTCAGTGAGGATGAGAAGAAGCTGTTGACAAAGGAGGGGGTGACTCTGCCCAGCAAACTGCCCCTCACAAAGGTACATTCTCTATGAAAACAATTATCCAAAGCTTGTTTTTGCTCCACAGCTGATAACTTCTCATAATTATCTGAGTTTGCTCTCCGTCATAAAGTATGAGGAAAGAATTCTGAAGAAAATACGCCGAAAGATTCGCAATAAGCAGTCTGCCCAGGAGAGCAGGAAGAAGAAGAAAGAATACATCGACGGATTGGAGAGCAGGTGGGGATCTAATTTGAATGCACCGTGTTGGAGTGACTGGTGGAAGAAATAAAAAGTAATGGTATTGCAAGCGTTTTGGATGTCAATTAAAAATCAATATATTTTTCATTTATTTTTAATTATTTTGCCACATTTGGCTGATTGTGCCCTGGAGGTCACCCTTGGACACTTGGTTAATCACATATTGAAGTCACCAGAACTGTGGTGATTTTTTATATGCACAATATGATTTTTATTCACCGGTTGTTCTGAAGAAAAAAACACAAGGATGTGGGTGAAGTTTGTGATTCCACGAAACCTCTGTTTTTCACCAAGACAAACAGAATTTATCAGATATTTGTTGTTGAGTGGTTTAAACAAGGTTTTCCTTAGACCAGTGGTTCTCAAACTGTGGTACGCTTACCACCAGTGGTACGCGAATGCTCTCTAGTGGTACGTGGGAAAAATTCATATATTTACATTTAAATTTTCAATTGAATAAATCTGAAACATACCATGCACAATTAATACAACATTTAAACATAAACATCTTTATGTGGTGGAAGCTAACAGTGAAGGCCTCTGCTGCTATATTCTAATGTTGGTCATCATGGTGGTACTCAGAGAGATCAATGTTTTCTCAGGTGGAACAGAGTAGAAAAAGTTGGAGAACCACTGGGTTAGACACGCATGGGATGACACGTTTATACTTATATTACGACTTTTTTTCCTGTTTTAATTCTAATTATTAATTCTCAATGTGAACCTAAAACTGCGTTGACGTTTCTCACAGACACACTGTTTAATGAAAATCTAGTAAAAGTCTAATCAACCTACTTATCAGTCAGAGTCTCTCTTTCAGGATGGCTGCCTGCAGTGCTCACAACCAGGAGCTGCAAAGGAAAGTGACACAGCTTGAGAAGTGTAACATGTAAGACTTTTTCGACAGTTCTCTTCAACTTTCATTTGGCTTTCATTTTCTTGAAGCACTTTCTCTACTCAGAGCTGGACTTAAGAGTCGCCCCCATGTTCCCTCAGACACTTGTTAATCCAATTATTCCTGTCATTTCCATTTTGAGTGTCCTCCCTTTTTGTCTTTCCTTTATTGTTTACTCTGCGCAGGTCATTGATTGAACAACTTCACAGACTGCAGGCTATGTTTATGAATACAACTAACAAGCCAGCCCAGACTGGGACATGTGTACTGGTACGTACATGTGTGAATATATGACAATATGTGTTTTTGTGCGCGTGGGCTTGAGTGAGGGGGGGGGGACAATGACGGGGGAGTTCAAACCCTCCATGAATCATTGTTTGCTTTCTACAAATAATCACGCTCTTAGAAGACCAAACAGCAAAATGCCACTGTTGGATTAGTCACGGAGAAAGGCCTATACAGCTGTGTACACGACGGACGAGACATCACAATGGATGTCAACAGAGGCACTTCCTCCAAATGGATGTTGACATTTCTAACATTTATTGCTGGAGACCAAAATGGCGTAGTTTTAAGTCATGCCAGTTAACAATTTGCAAAATGAAACTCACATATAAAAGAAATACAAGTGAGTCTCAGAGTACTCTGCTGCTAACCATGTACCTTCTCCCGATCACAAAGCCTGCTCTGCTCTGGGAATACCAATGTGTCCTTGTAAACCTTTACGGAATATAACACAGATATCCAAATGTCAAGCCTCTCCAACCTAAATCCTCATTTTATTATAGTAATCAAACATACTTGTGTGATCTTTCTTCTTCCAACGACTTGTTTTTGACGATTTTGTTTCCTCAGGTGCTTGTGCTGTCGCTGTCCTTAATTCTGTTCCCGAGCCTCAAGCCTTTCTCTGATCCCAAGGTCAGCCAAGGAGACTTCAGCCCCGTCAGAAGTGAGTAAACGTCAAGGGTAGGAGATTCCTGTGGTCAACAGTTCTAGAGTCTAACGGTAGTCAAGGAGACTGCAGCTCTCCTCCTGTTGTCTCCCAAAACAAAAAAAAACACTTTTGCCAATATGAATACTAGGCTAAAGCTTTTCCAGCAGTGTTTGATAAAATGTGAAACAAAAAATAATGAGAGGATAAGGATGTGAAAAGCAGAAGAACTGTTCTAAAGGTTTGGAGACATGAAATGAATTAGTGTCCTCTCTGAGTTACATAATTTATGTCTTTACACAACTTTCAAAGTCAC